TTTTTTTTTTTTTTTTTTTTTTGCTTCTCTTTTCACACGTCAAACTATGTTATCATTATACCAAGAACTTGAGGCCTTTATTGAACACGAAAGCTATTCAAAAATTCCAATCCCTAAAGCATTCAAGTTTTACCCAGATGACGCCTTGGAAAATGGTAAAGTTCACCTTGGACTTCATATCAACTCGATATCTCTTTTCACAACACTTTTACTTTTCTTTTACAAATAGATATCAACTTCTTTTCCAAATCCATTAACGAGTATCATTTATTTTCCTTTCTTTTCGTTCAACAATACATGAAGGTGGAGATTTAAATCGCTGATCTCTTGGTTGATAATACCAATAACGAAACTTTCTTTTAGCTCTGTTTTAGCTCGTTTGTTTTTTTGGGCTTTATTGAGTCGATGTTTGATGTGACAACAACGAAGACAAATATAAAAAAACAATGCAATAATGGAGTCCAAAAGGGGACCTCCAACTTTGCCCCACCTCCTCCTCCTTTTATCAGACACAGAAACCCACGCCATTTAAAAGAGACAAGCTTTCTCAAGTGATATCCCTCCCCATTTTTTCAAATATCATTCAACCAGCTTTTACCTCCCATGACATAGAACACACACTGACCACATTCAAGATCTTCAACTTTGATCTGCCTCAGCCTCATCTATGAGTTAATAAGCTTGACTTAGCAAAAAACGTTATTAACCCAAACCAGTTTTAGGACAGTTATTAAGTAATTATTGAGTTGAAAATTCTCTACTTTAAGTTATTCTTATACTTTAGTTATTTGTTTTGACATATTTCGATCGTGTGCAATTTTCTAACATCGTCGTTGTCATTGTCTTCAACGTTAGTCGTTCACTTTATTTTTATCCAACTTTTGTTTGGGTAAGGAAAAACAAAATACATATTAAAGAAGAAAAAGACATGAAATTTGAAATCTAAATCCATCCATTAATGGATGAAGTGTGGCAAATGGTGTTGGCACCAACTCCAAGAAAATCCCTTGTCTGCCCTCCTCCTGTGAACCCACTTCCACTTCCCATGAATTCACTCTGAGTACGACGCCGTTTTGCAGTGTACATCTCATTCTCATTCGCCATAATTGGGATTTGAGTAACAGAATTTGAAAATTCATTCCCATTTTGAACTGTACCGCCGCTGCATTTGAGCACAAAACCCTCTTGAAAAAATGGTGGATCCGAGCTGGAATTTGCCCCAATTTCAGCAGCTTTCTGCAGCAAAGCAGTGGCTGACATGTTAGCCATGTGGGTTTGATTCACTTGCTGTAATTGGTGGCTGTACAGTGAAGAAACACCGCCACCGCCACTGCCACTCATCAACGGCGGATTTTGAACTGAATTATTACCCTTTGTTCCAAATACCCAATTCAGATTGTAGTCAGCTGGTGGCGGCGCGTGGCAAGAATTTAATAAAGGGTCACAGTACATTAGCCCTGAATTAATTTGGGGAAGTGGGTGTAGATTGCTGTTGTTGTTGTTGTTGGTTCTTGAGGAGAGGC